ACAACAATGGAGCTATCGCTCAGGCTATAGAGCCAAGAGAGCACCAGAAGGTCAAACATGTCCAAAGGCGATTTCACATGATAAGGGAATGGAAATCCGAAGGTGAAATTAGAATTTGTAAGATCGGAACGGATGATAATGTGGCCGATCCTTTGACTAAACCTCTGCCTCAAGTGAAACACAACAAGCACGTTGAGGCAATGGGAATCAAGCACGTTGGAGGTTGGCTTTGAAATTCCCTGTACATGTGTTTTAATTAAACTGGTCGTTTTAATGTAAGACACTGTTTTAAAACCATTAATTTATTATGGAGTAATTAATTTTTCTTGCAAAATTACTATTCACTCCATTGCTATTTAATTGTGGTTTAGAATTAAATAATGAGTCCATTCGATTTATGGAAATATTCAAGATAGGGTATCAAGACCATGTCTTGGATAAAGAAACACCTGTTAAGTGAACATTAAATATTTAAATCGAAAATTATCCCTAATTGAGGTCATTTAACTGATGGACGATTAATGACCACTGGAGATTAGTGTGTAGTATGATTTACAACACCGTTTCTTGTGCTGCAAGGACATAGTAGTCATAAATCATTTGCACAAGTGCTAGTTTGGAACTGCACCGGATAGACCTATGAGAGTAATTTAAGAGATTTAAAACATCATAAGTACATTTCTCATTATAGCTATCGGAACTTATTTCCTCGACCATGAGTATTTGTGAAGTTTTCTTGTTTGAGTAATAGTCTCTTTGATGTTGCCTAACGTCTGCCGTAACTGGGGATCATAACGGGAACACTCGGGAGATTAGGTCCTCTTAGTAAGAGAAACTTACAGTATAAGACTGGGAATGTCCCCCTATTAAAAATAACGAACATGTCTTTGTTGTTTACAAGGCCGCTCGAAGAGCGAGACTATGAAAATGCATGGCCGTGCTCAGATGGATTTTAGAAATCATCTGCTTATTGACAGTCGAACTTGGAGATCGAGAAACACTTATGAAAGTAATAAGGATGACAATGAATCTTACCTTATAGTTCACGAAGAGACATTAAGAGACATAGGAAATGGGTTATACACTGTATGCACACTTGTCCGGAAGGACAAGTGGGAGATTGAAAGGAATGGTGTCCTTCCAACAAGTGTATTATTCTGATAGAGGGTTCAGAATTATTACAGAGCTAATTCTTCAGTAAGGTCAAGTGATCGGAATGCCTAGGTGGAGGCCGCTTCCGATCAGTAATATTAAAATTAATATTACAGCTTAATCTTAACTGAACCCTTCGGGTCGAACCCAATCGAACAACCGATCCGAGACGACGAATTAATCCGAAGGATTCAATGAGTCGTCGGAGTTTTACGAACACAAACGTCGGATATCGAGCCTAGGGCATTGAGACCGAGCGTCGCAAAATCACAAGCAACAAGTACGAGCATAGCCGTAGCATCACATTGGCCTAGTCATGTGAGTGCTAGGCTAGGCTAGCTCATCGCAAGCCTAGGTGCACCATGTGTGTGCTAGGCGCACCATGTGTGTGCTAGGTGCGCCATACGTGCTGGCAGCACCATCGCAGCAGCGTGCTTGCGTGTGTGCGTGCCTTCGCATGGCACAGCATCACCGCAGCATGCGTGCTTGCAAGCCTAAGTGCTATCGCAAGCCCTCGCACATCCCACGCATAGCACAACACTATCGCATGGCTAGGCCTGTGCGTGTGCGTGCATGGCATCGCAGCGAGCAACATGCTAGCAGCCTCGCTCAACAGCATTATGCCTTCGCATAGCTGCGTGCTTGTGTGCGTGCCTTCGCATGGCTGCACCAAGCACAGCGAGCTAGGAACAGCGCTAGGCAGCAAGCAGCCAGCAGCGAAGGCCTCGCCCAGCGCCAAGCACCTAGCATCATTCGTGGCTCGCTAGCAGCACGCATGAGCTAGGCGTGCTGGCTGGTGCGCATTGCGTGCTGGGCAGTGATGTTGTACGTGCTAGCCATGCCAGCTGGTGCATGTTGGCGTGCTAGCTGGCTGCCAGCCCAGCCATTGCTTGAGGCCAGTTAGAGGAAGGTGGGGACCAATGCTTGGAGCAAAGCCTTGGGGAGCAAGGCAATGGTCCCCCCCATTGGTTTTGGTCCTCATCTAACCAATCCTCTCCTCTTGACACTTGTTGCATGGTGATTGCTTTTGATTAATTATTTAATTTAGAATTAAATAAATTATCACATTTACCCACTGTCCCACATTGGTGGGAGATTGAAATTCAAGGGTTCATTTCCCTATAAATACCAAGGCTTTGGAATTTTGGAAAGAACACACTTGAGTGGAACTATATAGGCATCTCCAATGTTGAGAATACCTTAAGTTCGTAAAACTCCAAGTTTATATTTTGTTCGGGTCCCGACTAACCTTCGGGACTTAGGACGATTGGGTCGGGTTCGAGGGTACGAACCGTTGGAGGCCTTGCATTTGCGAGGTTCAAGTAAGAGCTCTTTTAGCGAGCGAAGCACGCGTCTAGGGTATAATTCTTTATCCCTTCTTCTTTTAATTATGTATTAATTATATTTGCATGCTTTAATTGCTTTAGTTATCGGAGCGGGTCTTGGGGGGTTTCTTTCCGCGTAGTGAGGGTCACTACGAAACCCTACAAATTATAGTATTTTCCCTCTTAATTGAGTTAAAATTTTGGACATCAAAGAATTATGATCAATATGCGTACATGCATTAGGCTAACTGATACTATTGTAGGGATTTAGATACTCTAAGCGGAATTGCATGAATCATATGCATAAGTATCTAAAACAGGTCTATGCATAATACATAAAAAAAACACATAATTATACCTTTGAAGCGTGATTCCACGAGTGTCGAGCAAGAACAATTTGGGAGAATAAAATCCTCAAACGCAATTCCTCTACTTGGTCCACGGGCTAGGATTGAACCTCCACTAATGCTAGTTAGTTGGGCACGAAAGATTCGAACCACCTTCTACGGAGAGAGAAGGAGAAAAATGAGCCACAAACCACCACCGTCGACCACCTTGTGCCAGTGGTCCGTATGGACGTACGACATGAAAGGGAGAGAGGAGAAAGGAGTGTGAGAGTGGAGGATTAGGGTTTGGCTGCTTGCTTCACAATTCACTGATCTAGTGTTATGTGACTAGTATGCCTAACCTAGACATGATGTCTATTTATACATCTTATGTATAATTAAAACCCCAATGAAGCCCAAACTCCTAATCCAACCCAAACCCTCCCTCCTTATTTCTCCATGTGGCCAGCCATATCCATGTGAGGCCTAATTAGTGGGCCTCTTACTTTGATCAATCCATCACCCTATGTGTGACCTCATAGGATCCATCCGATTAGGGGCTTTGGACTATTTGACTAGCCCAAAGATCATTTATCATATCTAGCAACAAAAGAATGAACTTATTATCTCCATAATATTGATCCATTATATAATTAGTAATTGCACTTGACGAAGACATAAATCCTTTAACAACACCACACATAAGTAGAGCATCTCCATCCATGCATCAAATTTTATCTCCCTCTATCACTACAACAATAGCCCCAACAATTATATCTCTCCTCCCTCTCTCATTTCAATAATAATCCCCAACCACCATCCCAACAGTGAACAACTTAGAAACAAGCCTTATCTCCCTCATCTTATCCTCGCTACAATCCCATGCCTTGCTTCCTATCATTCGCCTCACTGCACATGCTCATTACAATCCCACACTATTACTTTCGATCAACGCCTCACCACACTTGCTCACCCACAACAAATACCAACTTCGTGCATCCTCACATTAGTCTCCCTTGAAAAACAAGCTCCAAATCGATAACCCTCGTGTTGTGACACCTCTTCACCTAAACTCTTAAAAGATATCAAATGTTTCTGGTTGTAATTTTCAGGGTTGGTGGTGGATTGTGGGCAGTCGAGTTGACAGGGGGTGGTGTTTTTTGACCAATGGGGTTATGGCTAGGGATAAAGGCCGAAAAGGAGGTGGATAGTGGTTAGGGATTATGATCGATGGAGGAGAGTAGATAGGGTGTGATTAAAATTATATTGTTAGGAATTAAATAGCATAAATTAGAGTTTTTTCACCATATTCCCCTCGAGTTTTCAGTTTATTCACCCTATATCCCTAGACTTTAAAATATACTGCATACCCTCGAGTTTTCATAAAAATGCACCATGTACCCTTAATGACTAACGCACATTATCTTTTTTGGTCATTAGAAATAATCATGCAATGAAACCACCCTAAATCTCGTAACCACCCATCCCTTCCCCCACTCTTGAAACCAATCATAATATAAAGAGAAGGGTGGTAAGATGAAAATAGCACAACCAATTAAATTGTGACATGTGTTATTTAACTTGCTAAAATCAGTTGCCAACCAGCTACATCTTGTTATAAGCAAATGCCCTCCCCTTCCAATGACATTATTTTGAAATAATGTAAAAGGTCATTTTATCTTTTACAAAAACCAGCCAAAGGTGACAATCTTTCATTTAATATGAATAAACATTTAGCTATTAAATATGATCATTATTGATTCATGATGTCTTCGGTGAAATATGATTCAATTAGTTTGGGGCTTTAGTTTGACTATATATTGCAATTCGGAGTTGAAAAACGAATCCGATTTAAATATTATGGGTTTAGTTCATATTTTATCTCCAATCATGATCATTAATCTAATTCATGGTGTCATTTGAATTTACTTGGATTATATCAATTTTTCGAATGATAATATATTCCATTAAAAAATGAGTTATGAGTAAGTCAATTCAAACTTAAATCTGTCAATTTTCTTGTTTTAATCCCCTTATTTAATAATTATTAAAACAATTTAAATTTCAACCCGAGTTTCATACATATCACATTAAATTCACAATCGTGTCCATTAATTCAACTACAATTCAAATTTAGATATGGCTAATTCAGATCAGGTTAGTTATGTCGAGTCATTCATTATTATATCCATTATTATTTCATACAATACTTGCTCCCTCTTGTCCCTCTCTCCGTATTATTAGGCTACAAATCAAAAGACCCACAAACCCAGAAAAGCCTTAATTTTTCAGAGGAAAATAGAGAGAGAAGTAGACCGAGGGGAGGATTACCACACCAACTTCTTGGATTTCGCTTCTTCCTCTGAAATTCCTCAACATTTTCTCTTCATTCGTTAATTAATTTTTCTTCTTAGCTCAAAAAATACACCCCACTTCAAATTTTTTTGGTTGAAACTTGAGAATATGCAAATGGGTGCTTACTTTCCAACTTTGTCTTTCTCCTACACACTGTAAGTTTCATTTCTCTTGAATTTCCTTAGTATTTTGTCTGTATTTCCAACTGGGCGCAATTTCAATTTTTATTCTTTGAATTATCTTCATTTTTTGTACTATTTTAGTAACAGTGCAGTTTATCTTTTGAATTTCTGTTTTTTTTTTTTTTTTTTGAGGTGGGTAGTTTTCAAATTTAGTTCATTCATGCAACTGAGATCTGAAGCATCTGTTGCTGATATGAAGCTTGTAGCTCTGATTTCAGCGATTGGTTGACATTTCACTGTTCTTGCATTGTAATTTTACCTTCAATTTGCGCCTCACGTTGTGATATTTTGTGTGGATGTCAATTACCTTGATTGTTTAGTTGGTTAAAGTCTTGCCGGGGTGGTAACCAAGACCTCGGATCGAATCTGTCTACATCATTGCTCTATGTGGCTCCGTTCGCACGGGAAAAAATCGTGTCATTTTCATGAAACAGTGGCTTTTAGATTTCAGAATTTCTTATCCGTGGTTGCTTGAAACTGGGGTTTAAGTCAATTGATTAATTTAAGTTTGGAAAAAAAAAATGGTTTTTTTTTTTTTTTTTTTTTTTTCCAAACCATTAGAGTGATTCTAATTTTTTGTGTTGTTTCATGTTCATTGATTTTGCTACAAAGTATTGCTTGTCCACCACTTTGTAGGATCTTCCTGATGAACGTGCAGACCATTGTTAGTTAGTGCTGGAAATTTTAATTGAGAACGGATTTTTCAATTGTTATTTTTAATATGTTTCTTTGACCTGTCAGAGCCAGTTGGAAATTGCTGAATTTGGTTGAACCTTACTATTTTGAGTTTGACTTAAAAAATTGTGTATATTGTACTATGGTTTTCGGTTTTTAGCAAGCATTAGCCAACTATTTATAACTTATTAAATGAAATAAATATTATTTTATCTTAATAAAGAAACCTCAACTAATTATGTATTTTATTGGTTATACTTTTCTTCTTTAAGAAAATGTCAGCATATGGTAAGCCATTTAGATTCTTATGTTGTATGACATCGTTCTAGGGAAAAAGAAGGTTTAGTTCTTATTCTAATTGCTGTTGTTTGCTGTAATTATTGCATGAATGTAATCCACAATGTCATGTATCCATAGCTCAACTAAGACATAGTGGCAGCCTCTAAATCAAACGGACAAGTTTGTTCTATACAACTGCTTGAGGAAATTCAAAACATGTCATTATCAGCTTAGTGTGTCAGAGTTGCTTGTTCAAATAAAGACTTGGATATGGTCAGACTTAGCCTGTCTTGTCCCAATCAATATATTATCATTGAAACTAGGGTAGTAGATTATTTCTAATAATCTTGGATTGTTGAGATTGGTCTTTTTTTTTTTTGGAGATTGGTCTTATATTACAGCTCATGCAACTACAATAATAATCTTGGATTCTTGAGATTGGTTTTATCTTACAGCTCATGCAACTACAATATTGTTGAACATCACACTCTGATAACATTGTGGTTTGTTTGATTTAGATAGCTTAGACAACTTACTCATGGTACTATAAAGAACATAACAGCATAGGAGTTAGTAAGGGTGAAAATAGTCATCTGCATTTTGGGTATCCAAGTTAAGGAACTTTTTTCGGTAAAATGTACTGTACTGTATGTGGGTGATTAGTGGTGTGGGATAACTATTTTATCACCTCTTCACCAGTTTTGGTCAAAGTGTGCTTGTCGTCAAACCTGTAAAACTTTTGAATTTATTTTGGCTAAAAAATTGTATTGATTTGCTTTTGCTTGTATTTTTTCCATAATCTGCATCTAGTATTCAAGCTATGTATTATTAGTTGTTCTGTGATGATTGATTAGCACCTTAGTCTTTATTCAAGTCGCTGAATTTCTTTCCTTGAGCACATTGGTTCCTTTTCTTCTCTTAGGCACCATGGTTGAGATTTGTAACTATCCAATCAAGATCGAATCTTTAATCAACATGTATGCTGCCATTATAACCCTACTTCCTTCCTCTTAGCACTAGAAATTGACAACCACACTCGTGTAATCTTGCATCATGTCTCATCCTTTCATAAACAGTCTGTTATGATTCTTCGTAATGGAAATTTTATCCCGTACCTTCTCCTCATCATCTGATTCAAGCTAGATTATCTTGGTAAATTCAATAAAAATCCATACAGATAGGAAAGTGATTACTAATATTGCCCCTGCTTCTCCTTCGAATTTTCCAAGACAGTATGTGTGGCTATTGTACTTAATAGAGGTTTGGGCTTTATTATGTTTTTTTATTTTTTTTATTTTTTATTGGTTTTTACATCCTCTTCGTCTTGAACGTGACTGATACTTATATTTTGGTCGTTTCTATCCTCATGTAATTGACTTCTGTGTCCCTTCTATGTATACAGTACATACTTCCTTCACTTTTTTTCTTTTACTTGTAAAATATCCCTCAGGCACACTGTTTGAAGAATAGATTAGGACAAAGGAACAGTTTAATCGGGTGGGGAGTCAGAAACTTGAAGACTGTAGTTAGTTATCATATATATATATAAACCCATGTTTCATATATTCTTGGTAAGAAACTGACTTTGAAACTGGATAATTAAGATATGCTGGTTTTGGGTAGGCTGCCTCAGTTTCTCCAAATGAGAAGCAAAATTTGTTCCTCAAAAATTTAAATTGTAAAATTACAGGCAAAACCGCTACTTGGGGTAAAACCGTAAGTAGCAGTTTTGCCGATGAACAATAAAAAAAAGCATTTATTTACGAGTTTGCCAATTGAGAAACATATTTTGTTTCTCATGTTGAGAAACTTGGAATTTCTTGGTTTTGGGTAGATTTAGTACAGAAATCTTAGCATAAGGCTTGCCTTTTAGTTGATTTATGTGATTAGTGGTGTGGTTTTAAAATGCAGGATGTGATGGTTTCTCTAGCTTCCTTGTTGATACGGAAATCCTTCGATAAACCTGCAGTGGGATATAATCCTACCCCCCTTTTTTTTTGTTCTACCTACTTATTGCTGACAGTTGTTTCTAGGAAAGTTTTAAATAAGTGAGTGTGTGTCAGAAAAAGGTGGATAAAGTAAGAGGTTTGGTGTAAAATGGTGGGTGGGTGTGAGAAAGAAGTACTTAAAGTAAAATTGAATAAGTTGAAAGGAGTATATATTGTAGGCCTGTAGGGGTATGTAATGAATCTGGCCAACACACCTCCTGTTCTTCATACGGGCAGCAAGAGGCAGAAAAACGGGTAGGCTAACGCACCACCACAAGGGGAAGCACTACCTTAAAGCTGCAGTAGTTGCTATGTTGGCTTATTAGCTGCCATCTTGGCTTTTAGGGATGAAGACAAAAGTTAGTAAAGGTAACAATTAAAGTTGTACTTGCTTAGCTTAGTAGTATAGATGGGTAGAGAGTAGAAGAAGGAAGATAGGCAGAAATTTGTATTGGGAAACCTTGAGAGTTATGGCCTCAAGCTTACCCCTTTGCCATTTTTAGTCAAAGAATCAAGCATAAATCTTTCGGCTATTTCACCAAATGCCACTGAGTAATTTCAAAATTCACCAAATGCCATCGAACTTTTCTAAATTCATCAAATGCCACCGAGTTTTAGTATAATATCACCGAGTGTCATTAATGACTAGCAACCGTTAGTTGACCTCACCACTTGCCACGTGTCACCTTCTGATTGGTCCGTTTTAAAAAAAAATTAAACAAAAAAATTAAAAAAAAAAACCAAAATATTTTAAAAAATAAAAAATAATAATAATAAAAAAAAAACCCAAACCCCAGCCACCACCCCAGCCCCTACCGCCGGGACCTGCACCGGCAGGCGTGCCGACGGCCGCCGGCTCCCCTTCCTTTCCCCTCCTCTTCCCCCGTCGCGACCCACTGGCTACCGCAGCCAACCTCCACCACCAAAAACTCCCACAAACCATAGCCATCAAAGAGATTGAAGGATTGTGCCTCTTTCCTCTTCTCTCGCCCTGGTCGAAGAGCTTAGGTTAGGGTTAGGGTTCGGTTTTAATGGAAAGGGAGTGGAGACGGCAGGGGGTGGGGAAAATCGTGTTCGTCGGCGTCGGGGAGAGGGTTTTAGCGCCGGCCGATGGGGAGGGAGTGTTTTTCGAGGGGAGGGGAGGGGGTTTTAGGGAGGGGTTAAGGTGGTTTAGGGGAAGGGGAGGGTGGTTCGAGGTTTAGGTGGGTGTTGCTAGATCTGGCGCGCAGGTGGAGCAGGGTGGGCTGGTGGCAGCAAATGGTGGTTTTGGGTTTTTTTTTTTTTTTTTTTTTTAAGTTTTTAAATATTTTTGGTTTTTTTTTTTTAAAATGGACCAATCAGAAGGTGACACGTGGTAAGTGGTGAGGTCAACTAACGGTCAACTAACGACTGTCAGTCATTAATGGCACTCGGTGATATTATACTAAAACTTGGTGGCATTTGATGAATTTTGAAAAGTTCGATGGCATTTGGTGAATTTCGAAATTACTCAGTGGCATTTGGTGAAATAGCCGTTAATCTTTATTTACTTGCCTTGTCAAATCTGAAATACAAAACTAAAATAATTAGTCTATTACAGGGTATGGGGTTAAGATGGTAGAAGGTGCTTGCCATAAATAAAATAAAGTGGGAAGAACAAAAAAAAAAAAAAAAGTGTGGGTAGGGGTGTGTGTGTGTGTGTGTGTGTGTTGGGGGGGGGGGAGGGTGGTATCTGTTTGGATACGTTTCTCAAAATTGTGCTGGTATCATGATTTCTGGATAAACTCTGTTTCTCTATCAGCCTAATGAAACTGCTTTCATGCACTCATTATGGATGCAACCAATGCGTGTTAGTTATCTTATTATCCAGAGTTCTCTGTTTCTCTGTCACCCTGATGGATCTGTCCTCATGCGCACATTATGGATGCGTGTTAGTATTTCTGTTACCTAGAGTGCTCCCTGCTACCGCACCTGAGCATCCCTTATCATGTAGAGTGATAAAATGTTGTAGCATCTAGTACACTAGTAAGTCAGAATTAGCCATTTGATGGGAGCTACCAGTTGGTTGCCTTTGTGTTACACTGGTTATTATTTATATGCTGGATCTATTATTGTGTTAGATTATAAAATGTGTGGATCTTCATTTTGGTGTTAATAGGCAACTAGTCATCTATACATTGTTTGGCATTCACAGTGTGGACGAACATGTACTCATGATTTATGAACTTCCCGAAATATTATTGAAAAGCTGTTTCTGTTACAAAATGGTAAAAAGAACAGGGAAAACCCAATTAAAAGAAAGTTGCCTTTGTCTCTACTGTTCATTTAAATACTGATTTTGATGAATTTATGTATGCAGATCTCAACTGTAGTTGGAGAAATTGAGATATCATTGGCATCATAACCATGAAATTAGGAACAAAGAAAGGATGGAAGTCTATAATGCCTTTACGTTTAAGGGGCAAATCAGCAACACGATTTTGTTTGTTTTCCAAAGCAAAATCATCTAGCCCTGATCCAGGAAATACTCCTGTTTACCTCAATGTTTATGACCTAACTCCCATGAATGGATATCTCTATTGGGCTGGCCTTGGAATTTTTCATTCTGGTGTGGAAGGTAAATGCCTACTCTAGTTTTATGCATAATTCAAATGACTAAATGCATTCTTTTATGCCAATGGTTGTTATCTTCTCTCATGAACTTTCTAAGGTTCCTTTTTGCTCATAAACGACAAAATGAGTAAGCTATAAGAATCAGTTTCCCATTTACACAATTTCTACAAGGGTAAATTTTTCATTCTAGAAAACTGCACATTGATTCTTCTATCCATGCTCTTTGTGGCAGTTTTTATATTGAAACAGTGGTACTCAATATAAAAAATAGGAACCTGCAATACCTTTGACTCTTTGTTAGAAAATCATTGATATGGTGTTTACTAAGTAAGTTTCCAAAAAAAATTAGAGTTTTATATTCTGGATTGAATACTTATATTTGAGAAAATTGCATGGCCAATTTGAACTTGGATTAATCATATTTTGTTAACTTGGGAATTGGAATAATTCTAAATTTCAGTGTTGAATTCTCTTTATACTACCTCCGTTAAATATTAGTTGCAACTTTAGATTATTTTATATCTCACAAATAATACCCCAAAGTTGCAACTAATATTTAACGGAGGTAGTAATTTCAAGTGATGTTTCACTCTTTTGAATTGTCTTAGAATATATCCAAATTATAAATCTCAGTCAAAGTTGGGATTACCATAAGATGGCCAAAAGTTATGTTTTCCCTATACATTTTTAATACTATTAATTTTGGATTTTATCCTCGATTAATCACATAGCCTCTTCTTCTGCTTGAACGCCTTAATTTTATAAGTGGGGTCGGCTACATGAACCAACATGAAGACTTCCTAGGAAGTCACCCATCCTAGTACTACTCCCAATCATTGTGGCTCATTTTAAGCGATGTGTTTTACACTGGGAGTCACTGGCCTACCGTAACCCAGCCTAAATAAATTAATTTTTTGTTGTGACTTTTTTTTTAAATTTCGTGTATCATCTGTTTTTAAATTCTGTCATGCACTAATGCTTTGTATTACTTTATGTCTTGTACACCACTGCTTGTTAACCTTTTCATTTCCCTTTTAATCTGACAATATTTTTTAAAATAATAGTTATGCAACTAAATAACAGGTTCTGTAGCCGATGAATGAGAAAAGTTTATGACGATTTCCTGTCTTGTGGGAACTGTGGAAGAACTGTTAATGTGTCAACTTACAGTGGATACTTGTAGTTTCGATCCTGCTATAATCTTTGATTCTATTCTAGCAGGGAAACCCTTGAAATTTGTGGTGTAATAATAATATCTCTATACATCTATAGCAGAGCAACAGAAAAGCCTAAAATGCAGAAAATATCAGTTGTATCTCTTTGCATGAACCACGTGGGTATATGTGCTACTCGTGTCCCTTTTATGGGTATGCTAATGTTGCTGATGTATTTTGCATGATTGATTCTCTAGTTTAGCTTTAGTTCCTAGAGTTTGACAGTTGCTTAGATGTATAATAAAAATCTAGCTATTTGACTTATTTTGCTTGTCTATTTCTGATGCATTGCTAGTAGTAGTAACTAATTGTTTGTTTTATATGAATTATGTGTTTTCTCCTCTCTGTAACTCATTTTTAAATTAATGAGAATAATTTAACCTTTTCCTCATGACAGTTCATGGTGTAGAATATGCTTTTGGAGCTCATGATTACCCAACTAGTGGTGTTTTTGAAGTTGAACCACGGCAATGCCCAGGTTTTAAGTTTAGAAAATCAATATTAATTGGTACAACGTGCTTAGATGCGAAGGAAGTCAGAGAGTTCATGGAAAGGCATGCTGCAAGCTACAATGGAGACACATACCACTTGATTGTCAAAAACTGTAACCACTTCTGCAAGGATGTGTGCTACAAGTTGACTGGGAAAAAGATCCCCAAATGGGTTAATCGACTAGCCAAGATAGGTATGTATTCCTGGCACACAACACATACAATGATGTTTTGTAGTGTATAACTGCATCTTTCTCACATATTTCCTCGTGGGATTTTTTCAACAGGTTCAGCATGTAATTGTGTACTCCCTGAAACACTAAGGGTTAATGCTGTCCAAGAAGATGCCAGTTTGGTGACATATGATAATGATAAGAAAAGACTAAAGAATGCCTTCAGTTGTCTATCATCAATCTCTATGCGTCAAAGGCAATTGTCAGCTTCTTCGTTGTTCCTACGTTCACCATTAAAGAGCTGTTTGCCTTCATGTGAACTCAAGAGCTCCAAAAAACGTTCACTAACCGAAAGGTAAAAAGAGCAAGCAAAAAATATCCTGTAGGGTTTTCTATAGAGTTATTCTGAATCATTTAGTTGCATATTTTATGCTAATCTTAGCTCTGTATCTCTGTAAGATTCTAGGAGAAGTTCGCGGGGAAATTCAATGTAAGTTGTTTTTGTAATTATGTGATTTTTAAGGTTTCCCCATCTTGTAGTAGTCATCTCTATTTACTGGTTTGTGTTGCATTCCACTACTGTAATCTATTTGCCTGTAACATTACCTCCTGATGGAGTTTTTTATATTGTCAATTCTGGCGGCAACTGTTAGCACCACAAAAAAATTAGTGCTAGCTGCCAGAAGTTAATGGTCTTTTTAATGTCAAATCAACTTCTAGTTAGCTCAATTCTTCAGAATTATAATATTTCAGTAATCATGGTGTGTAATTCTTTGTTAAACTTTAGTTAATTAACTTAGCAACGTTGATTAGTCTTCGTGATATTCGATCATATGCATTAGATAGAGGTCGACTAGAGAACACAATAATGCTTGATACACAGACATTTTTCGAAGGTATGCATTTTAGACGTGTCTATTGTTTGCATGTCAGCTTGATCTTGTTCGTTTTGCAATTTCTAGTTATGTGTTTGCCTTTGAGTTGACAATAAGGACATGGTCTTGTTCGATAGTTTTAAGTTAATGGTTCGCTAGGCATAAACTTAGGGTCAATACGACATTATAAATACCTAGCGATAACGTGAAAAAATTGTGAGGATAGCACCCAAAAGATTAACCGTTGCCATAAATCTCTTTAGGGGGTGTCCATTCGGTTTTCGGTTTGGATTTAGTCCAAATCCGATCCAATCCGAAATATAATTCAGTTTTTAAATTTCCAATCCGATCCGATCCGAATTTCTCTCCCGATCCAATCCGAATTAAAATTCGGTTATTTGGATCCGATCCGAAATTCCGAATTATAATACTTTATTTTTTAGCGCCTAATACAATTATAAAAAAGCTTTAATATTAATACAAGGCTTCAAAATCATGATTAAAATAAATAGTTCAACATCAAGTCATTAATTAATTAATACAAAGTCTCCTTAATTTATTTTATGTAGTAGTAAGTATTTGAGTTAAACTTCAAAAAACAAAGAAATCCATATTTATACAAGCTTAATTTTACAATTCGGTTTTCGGTTTGGATTGGATCCAATTAGGGTCAATCCGATGCAATCCGAAAATCCAAATTTCCAAAAAATCTCAATCCGATCTGATCCGATTTAAAGTTCGAATCCGATCCAAATTGATAATTCGGTTTGCATTGGATTGAATTTCGGTTTTAATCCGAATTATGGACACCCCTAAATCTCTTACCTTGAGGTCACTGTTAACTCACAACTCTGATTAAGACAAAAATTTAATCCCAATACCGAGTCCTAGTGTAGGAATTTGCCAGAGATTTTGCAGTCGCATCACCTAGAGCCTTGAAACTACTAGGAGAAATGGTATTAGCCTTCCATTACCAATACAATACCCTATATTTAGTGAACTTATCAACATCCTTGGTGCTTAAACAAGGAGAACCACAAACTTCTTCTCAGCAATAGGCAAGGGCCACCAACATTCTTGGTGCTCAGGGTGAAATGAGCCGTAAAGGAAGCATGCAGTTATGAGCAATGTGTTAGGGCACAAACGTATTCAACTGTGTTCACTTCTTCCACACACCTGTAACCCAATCGATTACACCTCGTGTGTTAAAGATTGGCTATGGATGAGAAAGAAATTACCTATGGAGCTCAAACTCTAATCCAACAATCAAGATCAAAGATTGCTGACATATAATAATTGAATTACTGTTAACTTACATATATATTATATTAGGAGTGAAAATGGAAACTCTAAAATAAATTCCAATTATTCTAATCAAATCTTTCTTACCACAAACTATGAATGACTACTGAAGTAAAAGACATAAGAGCCAATTGATGGAATATGCATGAGCAAAACTGCAATGATAAATTTTATGCGAAACAAAGAGGATGGAGGTCTATTTCGCGATTAATTGTGAAGCCTGTTATCTATACATTGAGGATGGTCTGTACGGGTATCATCAACAATGTGGAGCCACTGTAATGTTAGTACAAGGTACAAGCATGGGAATGCACATCTAGCACATCCCATACCCCCATAATTCCTTGTCAAACAGTTGAATTCTCTCAATAGCCTATTCCACGAGTCCATGACAAGGTTCCCTCACTACCATAGTAGCATCAAATCTTTTGCTACTATGTTAAAACTAGCATAACTTCCTGGATGCTCAGAAAAAAACCAAAAGCAAAACAACCCTGACAAAAATACAGACACAAGGCTTTTCACTTCATATAGAAGATGTACATCCTGGATTTCCAAACCCTCAGGTGATGGGAGAACTGTGGTTACGAGCGCTGGCTTGCCATCCTTGTTACCAAAGTTGGCAAAGTATAAACAGAAACCCATATTTCAGCACTCTATGCTCTTTAGAGGACAAAGATGAATGCACTAAGATGTTAATGTGTATATTTTCCTCTTTTCCCCCCTATAACTTCTTTAAACAAACACAAGACAATGAACATACAGAGGCGAACCCAAATTATCTTTGACATAAAAAACCTGCAGGAACACGAGAAAGTCGCTTCAGATTTAGTGTATTCACAAGTCTTAAGAGGAAAATAAAAATTAAAATTAAAAACAAGAGCGTCTTTAATAATTTCAACCAACTTCAGTACATAAATATACACAGCATACACCAGACAGTTTATTAAATTATTTAGAGTATATATCAAACAGCTGCAATGGCTGTACACTCATAAACATCAATATGTCAGACTAACAGAATCTAGGAATCAATTGAGGAGGCCATGAGATAGATTCAATCGGTTTTCGGACGGGAAACACTACGCAGGCTATTATTACCATTGAGGGCTGCATGATATATCCGTTTCTCAGGCAATCCAATATCTGATAGTGTCATATTACCCTGCACATGAACATGAAAATATCATAAGAAACCGAAATGCTTCGAAAATAAGACACCGAAAGTAAACCAGCAAAAGATGCCACAATGCTCAGTTGCTCACAGATGGTGCTTTAGTTTTAGAAATAATAACATACCATGGTATAAAAAGATTCAGTTTAAGAATTTTGTTGAATCATTCACTGATGACATTGTATGTTTGATTTGACCAAAGATTAAAAAAAAAAAATAAAAAAAAACCATCCAATGCAATGTATCAGAGTTAGATAGCTAAGAAATTAAGATAACATGTTTAGCGCAAATGAGTTAACCAAAATAACACATCACTTTGGCAATGTGTTTAAGCGACTTAGATGAGTTATGAATTAACTGATCCCACTTGTTGGCAATGAAGGAGCTGAAAAGAAGCAGATCTCTATGAAAATTACTGGTCTGAAAAAAGAAATTTTAGCTACTAGTTGGTAAACTAAACAGCTGAAAAAGCTGCCCTTTCCTTTATCAATCTTGCTCGGGTGCAGAACATCCCCCAAGACACTACTTTAATTCTGTAATACTCATTAAAGACATTGAGTACTTGCCAGGATATTTTACAACACTTAACAAAAAAAGACTAAAATAGCTATTTTCAGAAAATATTATAAGGTGCCTTATACATTCTATATTGGCAAAATTGTCAGAAAGGTCCTTTTAAGAGGTCGACTTTGTGAGAAAGGTCCTCAATTTATTTTAAAAAAAAAAAAATGGTGGAAAAAATAGGTCCTTATATCCTATTTAGGTTGTAAGGAGGGACCTTAGAGTGATTCCGGCAATTGACTTTATTTACCAGCCATTTACCATCACGTGACTTTAAACCCCCCCTCCCCCTCCCTTTTTTGTCTATTTCTCCCTTTTCCCTCCAATTCCAATTGACCCTAATTCTTTCCCCATTATTTCCTCCCTCTCTCCCCCCCCCCCCGTCTTTTTATGTTGTTTGCACTTTAATTTTTTTTTCCCCCTAAATTTGCTAATATTTTCTCTGATAATGGTGAAGAACAAGCAAAAATGGAAAAGCAAGACCCAAGATGTCATTGTTTCATTCACTCGGATCCTAAAGACGGGGTTGGAATTGAAGGGAAATGGGAAAAAGGGATAAAAGACAAAAAGAGGTTTTTTTAAAAAGTCCAAGTGTTGAACACGTGATGGAAAAATAAAGTCAATCGCTGGAATCCGGTCAAAGGTCCCTCCTTACAACCTAAATGGGATATAAGGACCGTTTTTTGCCACCTTTTTTATTTAAGGACCTTTTTGACAAATTCAACCACTTAAAAGGACCTTTCTGACAAATTTTCCTTCTATATTCAACACTTTTTCATCAACCTGTTTTCCAATGAACAATGTCATATGAAATTTTTTTGATCTTTACGAAAATATATAGGCTAATAGATGGTAACCTAAAGAATTGAGAAGTCCCTCAAGGCACCGATTAAATACTTAAGTTCGGTAATACTCATTAAAGAGATCTATCAAGAATTGAAACGCTTAAAAAGAAGAGATTGATCAATAACTTTTGGGAGCTGATACAAAGCCATTATCAACAAAGCACATCTCATGCAAGCACATCTTTCACTGTTTATTCATTTATTCACTTCTTTTAAATAACTTCACTACTTTGGCCAATTCCAAAAGCTAAACAAATCGAGAAATGAGATATCAAAGAGGTTGAAACTATAGATATAACAGGCTGTTTGGAGCAGATGGCTAAAGTAAGTGGCATTATGCCTCAAGCTAGTCTGCAACAATTTTGAGCATAAATTGTCACATAGCAGTAATATACTAGTACACTAATTTATGTTGTGAGAGCACTCCAAACAAACTCTCTCCAAATTAAATACATATTAGAGGGTAATGAGAACCGTAATTCGAGAAAATAAAAGGCAACCTAAGTTTGTAACAAAAACTCAAATAGTATACATATTCGTTTAAGATACAACAAATGAAAAAAGTTCCTTAAAATGAGAAGGATGAGAATGCTATTGTGTATAATTTTTATACAGAATATGCATATTTTTTTAACAAAATGTGTAAAAGAAAATGACCCAAATTTGATGTGAAAAAATTTTGAACATTATTTGCAAAATTTTTTGTATTAATTGAAATTTTTTATCAACTCAAAAATCAAATTTGCACATCTAGTAGAAAAAAAAAATGCATTTTCAGTAAAAAAACTTTTGCACTCTCATTTTAAGAACCTTCTCATTGAATCCACATGTAATGTATATACAAAGAAATTGTCCCCTTTCCTCATTTACATCCACATCATTTTCTCCTCCCTTTTACAAATCAAAATTCTGGAAGAAATGACGAGGCATTGCTAACATGCAGAAGATCGTAGTGGAAAGATGTTACATTAAAGGAAATTGCTTTACATTTCCTCTCTATCCCTTTCGTGATTCCATTCCTTTTACCCTATGCAAACCAAATGCCCCCTTACTTTTAATTTACAAAACCTTATTGCAGTAAAGTAGATTGTAAACTTATTAAATTTCATGTATTATTCACTATCTTCATTTGAAATCCATGCATAGCATCTTTAGTTATAACTTATAACTTCAAACTCTTTCCCTGTCGCAAAAATTACATTGATGTCTGTAGGCCAGTAGCACCATTGACCTTTGTATGGGTTAAGGTGGCAGGAGCTTTGATCAATATTAATTGGGAAATCCTAAGAAATTGATATGATTTGTAATCTCTTCATTAAAATTGGAAATGCTTTTTGAAAAAAAAAAAACCAGAAAGCAATCTTAAATAGAACATTTCTCTTCTGTTAACATCTCTATTATCTTTTCTTCCATCACCACGGGTATTCCAAAAAATCATGTTTAGGCTACCAATGTACTAAGCAGTTGTTACAATTGCACAAACAATTTATTGTCAATTTAATCTAATTTGACAATTGCAACCACAACTTAGTTTGGACAGCACAACAATGCTTATTAGCGTAACTAGAAATAGAAAACTCAGCCAAAAAAAACAAAAAAAAAAAAAAAAAAAAAAAAAAAAAAAAAAAAAAAGAAAACTCAACTCACAGACATTAGATAAGTCTGAAAAGGTTCAAATCAAGCAGAAATTTAGAATAAATTCCAAATGAACAAAAGTACTAAGCTGCATAAGAAGTCAAAGGGAAAATCATACCTCATCAGCCATTAACTTCCGTACATTACTGGCATATAGTTTGGGATCATCTTTCTCTTCTTTAGAAGGGTAATAGATAGGCAACCTCATCACCTCCATATAGTTCACAAATTGACACAGGAGAAAAACTACATGCCGTACCTGCAGATAAGATATCCTATTATGAGTTTCATTATATATTTAAAAATAAAACAATGAAAAAAAATGAAAATCATAAAACTCACTCCAGATATCGAATCCCAGGCAGGACTAAATCTTTGATATGGATATTTAAGGATCACAGGAAGAACAGGAGCTCCTGCTCTGAAAGCACCAGTTTTGAATGGAAGAAGGAAATTCCCATTTGTAGTTGTCCCCTCTACAAAAATAATCATCTATCAAACGTGTAAGGTACAAAATACAAATAAAAGCAAATGCATCACAAGATAAACAGCATGATGAATCAGCGCAAATTGATCATACTCGTAACAATATATATTCATGCTAGCCACCACTAAGGATCAGATATGCTTAAGTGGAGACTGTACCATATTCATCCTACCCTAGCCTTGGCCGGGGTTTGTATCGCATTGGGGTTCAGAGTGCAAGAAAAATGGTGTTGAGACTCCACTCAGGTACTGAGAGAGGACATCCAAAAAATGTTTCACTTACTAACCTCCCCCTTCCCCGAAAAACAGAACCAAAAAAAAATACAAAGCACTAGCAAGAAGTTAACAAGCATTGCAATTTGCAAGCCTTGATGATTATTAATAACACATAATCATAGTATAAAAATGCGGTTTCGGTCGCGGTTGCGAGAACGGCTGTGCTGTCATGGTAATAGTATTGATGTGTTGGACGCGGACCGGGTTGCGGTTGTAGCGATAGAATTTTAATTGAAATTTATTTATCCAAGTATTATAATTTAGGATTTGAAACTAATTTATATTTGAGTTTTAAATTAAATCTAATATCATATCACTAATAAATAAAGCCGATCTCGCAGCATGAGACAGCCATACTTGGCATTTATATTTGAATTTTATGTATGTTTGTGATTTTATTAATGAAATTAAAGAAGTAAAAACTACTAAAATTAGGACACAAGTCACACAACAGAACTATATAGTACAAGGGAATCTTTAAGTAAATTTAGCAATGTTAGCAAGGTCTTAGAACTTTATGGGTTTTACAAAGCCTCCGTAACCCATTTACCGGCCATATATTACAAACGGTCCAATTAGGCCAATAATATAATCTGTTGATTTTACGTGTTAAAATTACTTTTAACTTTTAATTTATTTTATTATTTTTTTTAACCGAAGCACTCTTCTTTTCACAAAACTATACTTCCTCCATTATTTTAGTGTTCCATTAAAATTTAGCATAGATGTCGACATAGAACTTTGATACATAATATCTTAATTATATTATTTTTTATGTATAATTCACAAACATTGGTCATAGTAGACAAAGTGAATATAGTCCGACTTGCAAAAACAGAAAATAATAACAAACGTAAAAAAAGAATAATTGGTAGTGTTTCTACTCTCTTTTTGTATCTAATATATTAAAAAAATATAAATACTAATAATAATTATTATAATTATAATACAAAGCATGCCCACAATTAAGTACACTCTTTAAAATGGGTATTCGGAACACCCGGGGTACGTACTAGTATATATAAATATAAAGAAGATTTTTTTCCCCACGTAAGATTAAAATTTCTTAACACACCATATAGGATTATAAATTATAGTTATAACCAATTAAATAAGTGATTTGTAATTTCTTTTAGAATTATATAATGCAAATGCCACATAAGCAAAATTGGCAAATGAGATTTTAAAGTTTACAAAAATTAAATATAAAAATATTATCTTTTGATATTAGGAATTTTATCTAAATATATAACGAATAAATTAACAATTTATTTTATAATAAATAAAATAAAAATAGTAAATGATATACTATATACAACGAATAAAATAACAAAATCTATCACATACATTAAAAAAAAAATATATATATATATATATATATATATATATATTTTGTTTTTAAAAAATTCAAACAAACCGTGCATCGCACGGGTTTCATCTAGTTAATATTATTTGTGACTTTTAAACCAAAACCATACATAGTTACATACTCCAAGCTTGTTCATGTTTTATTTATCCATTGACAACAATTAAAAAAACACAAATAACAAATAAAAAAGCCCACTTGTCATAGCAGATAACCACTGGCCCACTATTGTAGTATTGTCACACATAAAATAAAATAAATAAATAACCCTACCAAACCCATGACTTCATTCCCCCTCTACACGTGACTTTTGCTTTACAATTGTCCCACAATACACCTTCTCTCTCTTCTTTTGGTTCACATCTAAGAACTCATCCATTTCAATGGAGTTTCACCATTTCTATTTTTTTTATCCTTCTTTTTGCATAAAAAAGTGAGTCTTGCTTCCGAAAATTAACCAAATTTGAGTCAATAAGATTCGATACGGAAGAGATTAAATTTGTACCGTTTGTATCGGCCAAAATGCTAGGAACTGAATTCTAGCTACTGGAAAATCAGAAGATTAAGGATTATAAAACTGGATATTTGTATTGAGAAGCTATTAACCAAACAATACAATGGATATTTGTTAAGCTAGCTATTAACCAGCTCAACAATGGTGGTTTCCTTCAATTCGAGAAGAAGGATGATCTCCCAAAATAAGCCTAAGCTTAACAACACAATTTTCTGGATCTACTACTCTATACCCATGCACCTATATTTATATTATTTAGAGCTTCTACAAGCTTCCATTCTACACTCTTCCCCCTAACAAACTTAGATTCCCTTAATAACAGAATTATTGAATTATGAACTAATTAACTAAATAGAAATTATTTAAATGTAATTAATATAGCAACCATCTAATTATTAGAGTAGCAATTGTCGTGGCCTTGCGTGCATATGACGTCACCACCGAGGACCTGATCTCTTGCACAAAATCTCGGCCATTTGAAAAATGTCATGCTAAAGCGGGACACATCGGACAGGTAAGTCTGAAATCTGTTACAAACTGGCCGGTTCACGACGTAATGGCCGCATTTTTATACTATTGCACAGAATAATAGAATTGGCTGGGTTTTGGAAAATAAGGAACTGATAAATTTTTTGTTATGAAAACTAATTCAGTCCAAATTCAATAAGAAGCAAGATAAAAGGTGAAACCAACCTTTTAGAGAAAGAAGAGTTTTCATAATAACAAGTGGAACCTCCACCTTCAGCCTATAACTGGAGGATATAGAGGCACTTGTTATGCGCTCTGCCTACTTAGATAAGGATAATAACCCAGTATCCAGCTAGTACCTAGAGGTCAATTCTGCAAATGATATAGAGGTACTTGTTATGTGCTCTGCCTATTTAGATAAGGATGATAACCCAGTATCCAGTAGTACCTAGAGGTCAATTCTACAGAAAGATGACCCTCAGTAACCTAAGAAAAAGCATGAATAAAATCTAAGATCAATCAACGATTTGGACCGGATACATGGACATCTTAAGATCAAAACCTTCTCTAGCGATACTTAGTCTAGAATCACCCTAGGGATGAAGAATGTAAATATAAAAAGGGAAGAGAGGCAAAAATTTGTATTGAAGAGAAACCTTAGAGAGTTATGGCCTGAAGCCATTGATAGAGAGTGATAGCCTCAAGCTATTGTGGAGTAATAGCCTAAAGCTATTAACCTATCATTGTAACCCTTTTGGTCATTTTCAATCAATATTCAAGCTTCCATCTTTATTATTTCTTCTTATTCAATCAATTTACAACAAAATCAGAGTATCTAGTTTAACCAAAGAATCAATCTTTTTACTCTCTATTTTTCCTGTTATTTGCGCGAGTAAGTTAGCAATAATACCGGTCTATTACAATAGGTACATGGATGACGTGACTGATGTAAATGAAGAAGGTGTGTGATAGATGGTGGTGACAGTAGTACTGCTATGAATAGAGATGGTAAGATTAGTAGCTGTAGGTGATAGGTAGACTTTTTCTGTTTTCACGTGCAATATAATAATGGTACCAGTAAGGAGAGGATGGTAACAAATTAAGGGAAACATATACTTTCAAGTAATTATAATAGGAAAACCAAATTACTATCAAACATAAGAAAACAAAATTTATGTCCAAATGGCATCTAGCACATGCAATGATAAATAGCATAGATAAGAGAGGAGTTCGTCAATGTTCTAAAAATATTTGGTTATATCTATTATCCTACAATGTAATCAAAAGGAATCACACAGATGAGTGAAATATCACAATTAGTTTACTTCGTATATTTTAAAAAGCATGTAGTCAAGTAGTATTGTGACTGTCAATGACTATTAAAAACTAATGCTTCAAAAAGCATAATCAAGTCTCAATTAAACAGTAACTAAGACAACTATTGCTATAGGGGAACATGAAATAACCTGGAAATATCAACATCAATGGAGCATCACTATTGTCATGTGCTTCTTTGATTCTTTCTGTCACAACACCTAAATAATAAAAAGCCTTAGGCTATTAAAGATAACCATGAAAAAAAATCTACAAAGGAACATCTTTAAGTTTTCAATAACACGCTTACCTGAAACACCTTTGAAGTCTGATGATCTATCTTCCCGTTGCACATAAACACAACCAAGGCACTTGCTGTGGAGGATGGAAAAACTCTAATTAATGTTATGATGTAAGGTTAGTAATAAATAGATAAATAAAAGCAGCTAGCAGCGCTATAAGATACTAGAGGACAATCAACTTAATTCTAGAGCCAGAATATACCCTGTAGACAGGAATCAACGCAAAAATATAAAAACTAGTCCAAACATGGTTTAGAGCCTTGGACAATCAGAGTAAGAGAGAGACAGGACACCAAATACCCAGAATAATTAATCACATAGGTTGAGTTCAAGTTTTTGTAAAACCATAATATAGTACAAGCTCAAGCTATCCAAAACCCATTATGACTAAATGACTAATCAGCCTCGCCTACAGTTAAATGTATGATGACCCCATGCAACTGATGTACATGTAATCATGCCCAAAAGTTGATATCTACAAGGCACATAATCAATCACACTTACAAGTAATTGGAAATATACAACCAATCATCTGACTCTCTGAGTGCTCCCTAAAGTGACCTCTAGATTAGACAGCACAAACAGCAAGAAATAGGAAGACATTCAAAGACCATTTTGGCCTAGTTGATAAAATTTAAATGGTAATGGCAGAAAATTGAGACAATTCTAGAGAATAGAGCAATGAAATCCTAAATTGATCTCAAGCATCAACCAAAGCACATAAGCAACAGAGTAAAACAAAAGATGCTCATTTCAAGGTTTTTCGGATCAAATTCACAGCATCTTAGATGCTCAATAATTAAGTCCATACTCACAGCCTTTAAGTAGCATTCAACAATTGTTTTCCGTAAATTAAATTGCACTAATTGTAAAAGATTAGGAAAGGCAGAAGAGGGAATTGACAGTTGAAATAACACATGCCGAAGACAACTTGCTCAAAAGCTTTCAAATACAGTAATGAAAAGATGTTTGGCTAACCTGATGAGGCCAACTAGAGGAAGTTTGCCGACTGATCTCTTCAGCAGAGAAGTTTTATAAGTCATATCAGCAACAGTCACATGTCAGTGAAAGGCTTTAAGGTAATGAAAATTTAAAGAATAAAAAGAGAGATACATGGGACAACTAGAATCAATCAAGAAAGTAAATCAACCAACCTTGGCAACAAAACTTGGAAATGAAGATGACATGTGGTACAAGATATCCAGATATGAGACATGGTTTGATATGACTACTCCCGGCCTTTCGGAGCTTTCTAATTGATCTTTGCTATCACTCTGGTAAATGAAAAAGAACAGACGTTAGAGACCAACTCTTTTCTGGGTTACCAAACTAGAATCTATATAACAATAAAAAATACTGGTATAAGCACAAGCATAACTCACTTATAGAAGCAAAATTTTAATACCACAAGCACCTGATTATATCATTGATAACATATGCCTCCCATACATCTTTTCTCTTTCAGAAAAAGCTATCCAAACTAGGTGTAAGGCAGGATGCAGACATCACAGCATGTTAAAACAATGATTCCATCCATTCAAACATACAGGGTCTTTTGAGGTTATGTGCAGATAAATTTATAAGCTGTAGCATACTAGCGTTGATACTATTAACATAAAAGATTGCTTGATATTATAGACGTCAGCACTCTAAGTTTGCATTGATATTTTAAAAATAGCTAATACAATATGATAACCATAACCATATGCTGGAGTTAAGGGAGAGCTAGAATCAACAATTCTCAGCATAATCTAGTCGTAACAATGGGCTACACTGAAGCCTTTACCCCAATATTATGTTATTCCTTACCACAACCCCCTCCCCCTTCCAAAAAAAAAAAAAAAAATAAAAAAAATAAAAAAGTAGCCAAGATTATTAAAGCATGATGGCAGGACACGACGCCTTCTCATTGAAACTGAAAAATCCCAATATAGAACCTCATAAAAACAATATAAAACAAAAGGCTTTAGATTAATGATTTAATGATAAAAAATATAGAAAAAAGATTAAAATCAATCTTCCCAAGTATAAATTCAATGCTGTAACTATAATATACCCAAATTAAAGTAACACACCTAGTAACCATTACCACCCATTTATTACCCTTCTGAACCCCATGATAACAAAACATGTTATCCACCTCCATTTTAATTTGATACAAGAGATTCTTTCCTTAGATATACGACTTATACCAAGCAACTAATCATGGTAACAATTAACTTATTAGTTGCTTTAACTAAGTAACTATGGTAATAATACAAGAATGACAGCAATAGGCTATAGATTAAAAAGACAGCATTTGAAAATCAAACGCCTTCTCCTTGAGACTGAAAAACCTATTTTAGAACTTAAATGACAGTACAACTATAGGCTATAGATTAATGATCTAATGATAAAAAATAAAAATACAAAAAAAATAAAAATAGATGAAAGTGAAAATCAATCATCCCAAGTACGAACCCAATGCAGAATAACTATCTTCTACCCAAATTAGAGTAACACACCTAAGTAACCATTACCGCCATCTATTACCCTTCTGAAACCCATGGTAACAAAACATGTTACGATTGTTACCCCTCCATCCTTAATTTGGTACAAGAGATTTTTCCTTAATTAGTTGCTAATCATGGTAACTAACTACACATTATTAGTTGCTTTAACTAAGCAATTACGGTAATAATACAAGAATATGAAATTTATCAATTAGCATACTCTACAAAAATTCTAAGCCGCACTTTGGTAATTCATCAAAGCGAAAAAAGATGAGCAAACATAATTTGATGCATTGTTTATGTGAAATTCCAACAGAAATTTAACTAGAATACGAGACAGTAAAATTTGGAATAATATACAATCAAATAGAAACTTCTTTCAAAAAAGCAATCAAAAACAATTTCACAAGTCTCAAAACTCCAACTTAAAATCCCACAAAATTACAAACAAATTGAATTCAAAAATCAAAAAAATAAAAATCAATACTTACCCCATCACTCAATTTCTCTTGATCATAAATCCTGGAAGAATTAGAAATCCAATAAAACCCTAATGTAAACAACATAGCCCTAGACAAAAATCTCCCACATCGAACAATAACCTCTCTCCTCCACCCACCAAGATGACCATAATCCTCCATCTGCTGCGGCTCCCCTTCTTCGGGCCGATGCGGCGTCGTAAAAAGAGTACAAATTCTACAAACCAAGTAGTAAATCACAAGCACTGTCATCCCAACAACCACCCGAAGAGGCAGCAGCGTAACCACCGCAACACCCAGCAAAACCTTCTCCTTCACCGGAAGCTCGCCGCAACCCATTGGCCCATACACGTCGCGCCGAACATACGCGGCGAACTTCTTTTCCATCGCCTCTAACTCTGCTGCTGTCACCTGCTTTTCTGTGGTTTTGTTGGTGCTTTGATTAGATGATTTTGAATCGGATTTGAGAAGGGGTTGTTCGCCATTGTCGATTTGTTGTTGTTCTTCATGAGAATGATTTTGATTGAGGTTTTTTAGTTCAGTATCCATTTTTTTTGGGATTTTTTTGGAAAAAAATTGGTTATAAATGTTGGAAGAAAGGATCTTTGGATATTGAGGGGGTTGTTGTCTTTATAAATCAGATGAAGTTCATTAGTATTCGGGATTTTGGGGGTGTCCCTACGCAAGAGAGTCGGAGATTGGAAAAGAATTTGATTCGGATGGAAGTTTGTAGGGTATTGTTAAATGTATGGCCTATTACTTACGTGTCGTCTTTAGAAGAAATTGCTCAGAAAAAAATTGTTTTAGTATTTGATAACCTAATAAATTTAGTGTGCTTTAGATGATCATATATAACATCGAATGTGACTCGTAGGTGTTGTAGCTCATTAGCATTGTGTTTGTGTAAATGCTTTTATTGCAACTGTGAGTTAGAATGCGCAAAACTATTCTTTAGCGGAGTGTTTTTCTCGTTTGGGAAATTATCAATGATAAATTCCAGGTTTTGACTTTAATCAATGATACACCTCATTAAACTTTCATTATCAGCGATATACCTAAACTTTTCTCTATTAACTACAGTAACCTAAACGTTAAGTAAATGTTAATTAGAATTAGTTGACAGCGTTTTTGGTCTGACTTGGCTTGACTAAAATGCCCCTCCCCCCACCCAGTCACTAATAGTCCCTCCAAGCCCAACCAACAACATTAAATACAAAAATTTTGATCGTTCATCTCCTTCACTCTCTCCCCTATTCTTCTTCTTCTTTAAAACCCTAATTGACGCTCGAGTGAAGCCAAATCCTTGGAAATTTAGCGATATTTTGTGGATTTCAAAAGGTTAATGCTTTTTACTCTTTGGAATTTTGGAATTTTTTGGTTTAAATTGTATGAAATAAGTATATGTATGTATCTTTGTTTAATTTGTTGGATTATGAGTACAATTTGTAATTGTTGTTGGGTCTCGATTTCCATATGATCATGTTCGCGTGCTAAATTTTGTATTTTTTAGATATATAATTCGATATGGGTGTTTTTGTGTTTGCATGGTACAGTGTTACTTTTTAAATGTTGAACCTAGGTTTAAATTTGTGTTGTTCTTGAGTATGTGATGTTTTATTGTGTTTAAATTAAGGTAGTTTAATCTAATTTTGCAAAATGAGTGACAAGATTATGTTGAGATTTAAGTATAAGGTGTATAATGTTGACATTGAAGTGGACCCTGATACTTGCAACCTCATGAATTTAATCATAGAATTTGGAGATAAATTATAAAAAAAAAAAAAGGGAATAGTTATATTGAACCCTATTTTTGCTTATGCTTATAGAGGCAAACATATGCCAATAGATGATGATGGTGGGATAATTAGGATGTTTAGGACATTCCCTGATGCTGATATGTTTGAGATTTTGGTTGGGACTGCTCTAAATTCAACTTTCATGAATGATTTAGTGTCTAAGTTTAGGAGGAACAAAATAGCTGGTGAACAAGCTAACCAAGCTTTGCATGAACCACATCCTCTTAATCAACCACCAGCTCCACCTGAAAATGTACCACCACCTCTTAATTACCAAGCTGCCATACCTCCACCTGAAAATGTACCACCACCACTTCCACATCCTTCTAATAATGGAAGGAGCAAGCTACAACCTAGGAGGAGATTGAGACTGACATACCAATCAACTCCTCAAGTAACTACTCCTATATCTCCTGTTAACCCCTCATTAGAAGAGCTTGACAGTAGGATTTTAAACTATACCTAGATGCTACCCACCTTGATGTACAAGATGAGTATGAAATTAATAGTGCTAACCAGTCTGCAAAAAGATTACACTAAGGGTAGGAAAGAGTTTGAGAAGTATTATGAGAAGGATAAGGGTATGGGTAAGGGTAAGGGTAAGGAAGTAGTTGGTTCTTCTGGTGGTACAGCAAAGGGAAGAGGGAAATCTAATAAATCTGGTCTAAAGCAAAGGGCTAGGGTAAAGCAAAACCCATATGTTCTGGTGGTGAGAAGTTACCCCCAACTCCCATTTCACCACACACTTTTTAAAACACTTGTTGTTAGAAGAAGCCCTAGGTTTTCACCAACACAAACTATTACCAAGCAACCCACTCTCATTCTTTCATCTAGTCCAAACACTAGAGGTTCAAATCCAACCATTAACCCCCTGCTTTTTTTTAGAAAAATTCCTAAGAGTACACAAATTAGGAAGGGAATTTGGACTGGCACTAAGGTTATAGTCAATAATAAGCCAAATCAGGTTGGGGAAAGCAGTGAACCAAATGCTAGAAGGAGAGTCACTTTTGTTAATGATGATGCTAGTGGGGGCGAGCCTAGTGACTATAGTTAATCATCTAGTGATTATGGGAATTATGATGAAAATGGTGGTGTGTCTGATGAATATTTAGATGGTGAAGTCATCTCTAATGGTGATGTACCAGAAGATGAGTTATTTGAGACTAGACAGGTTCCCTACATTAAGCCAATTGGGAGCAGGATTTTTGTTCTGGTTTTCTAGATGATGATGATGATGATGATGATAACTACTTTCAACAGCTTAGACCCTGGATGATTTTCATAGACAAGGCTCATTTAAAGGAAACTTTGAAAGATTATGCAGTGCAGGAAGATTTTGCTTTACATGTTGTTGCTGCAAACAATAAGATATACACTGTGACATGTTATGCAGAGTGTTGTGAGTGGAGATTACATGCTAGTAGCTTAGTTGATGGTAAGACATGGGTAATAAAGAAAATATGGCCAGATATTCATAATTGTAGGGGTTTGGAAACCTACAACCCTATTTGTACTGTGAAGTGGGCTGCTCCTAAGGTAATGGAAGATATCAGGGCTGCTCCAGACATTCTAGGAAAAGCATTGAATGAGCTTCTATTTCAGAGGTTTGGTATTTATATGAAACAAGCTTCATTGTACAGGCTGAAGAGGTATGTGATTCAAGAACTGTTTGGTGGTCATGATGAGTCTTACTCTCTTATGCCAAGGTATGCTGACATGATATGCTTAGCTAATCCTGAGTCAAAGGCATTTGTAGCTTGGCAACTGAGTGAAAGCATTCCTAGGGTGAATTTGTTCTCTAGTATTTTCATAAGTTTTGCTGGACAATGGAAGGGTTTTCTGGGAGGTTGCAGGCTTTTGATTGGGGTTAATGGGGCACATTTGAAAGGAAACTATGGTGGTATTCTGTTGTCTGCAGTTGCATTAGATGGAAACAATAAAATTTATCCAATAGCATATGCCATAGTGAGTGCTGAAGACAAGGAAAGTTGGTTTTACTTCTTCTGGCATCTGCACAACATAGTCAAGCAGGAAACATTGTACAATTATATATGACAGACAAAAGGCATAGATTTCTTAACTTTAGAATTTAGATTTTCTGTATATTACTTTTTTAGTACTAAACCCATAAAATTTTTGGCTTGCACCAACAGGGAGTTGATCTTGCTCTGACACAAGTATGGCCTGATGTAAAAAGGAGGTATTGCTGCAGACACTTGAGCAGGAATTATAAAAAAGAAATCCCAGGTCCTTTGATGTATACTTTGTTCTGGAGGGCATGCAGTGAAACAAATATCTACACCTTCAGAAAAGCAATGAAGAGGTTGCAAAAGGAAAGAGGAGATGATGTTATGACTTGGTTTGTTGATTTAGGAGATCAGTCAAAATGGAGCAAACATAAGTTCGATCAAAATGTGTGCAATGACTCCAACACCTCAAATTTTGTTGAGAGTTTTAACTCCACACTAGGTGTTGATAGGTAAAGACTTGTCTTAACCTTGCTTGAAGGCAATACTTCTAAATTTGACTCATTTGTACTTCTCATAAAAGATCAATTGAATTTGTGTTCTAATTATTGTAATTGGCAGGTATTAGAAGAGTGTGTATGGTCAGGATTGCTTCAAGGCATGAGAGAGCACAAAGTTAGAAGGATGATGATTTATGCCCCAAAATTGCAAAGTTGGTCAGGGATATTAGCAAAGCAACTAGTACCTGCAAGGCTTTTCAGTCAAGTCCAGGAGAGTATGAGATACATGAGGGGATCGAGGTCCTAGTTTCCTCTAAGTCTCAACACCAAAATTTGCTCATGTGGAGCTTGGAAACTCTATTGTATCCCTTGTAGACATGCAGTGAGGGCAATGCTTCATGCTAAGGTTGATCCTCACAATTATGTAAGCTCCTGGTATACTGCAAGAACCTACAAGCAAGTTTACGACTATGTTATAAACCCTGTTCCTGATTCAAGTCAGTGGCCACCTATTGATGCTAACCACCTCCATCACATTCATCCACCAAAGATGAAGAGAGGTGTTGGTAGGCCAAGTAGAAATAGGAAAAAAGAAGAGGGTGAAGACCAACTAGGGAAGAGATCTAGAACAGTTAAATGCGGCAACTGTGGCTGTTTAGGACACAATGCTAGAACTTGCAAAGGGGGTTTGACAAGAAAGGAACTAAAGTCAGTTTAGGCCATGGTTGTTAAAAACCCAAGAGTGAGGATCAATCAAATTCTGCAAAGGAAGCTAGAGCTCAGTCCAAAGCTGCAGCATGTGCAACAGAGCTTTCATCATCACCATTGGCAAGCCAACCACAAGACTTGTCACAATCTCAACCTTGACGTATGATATCATAGCTGCACGAGTAGTTCTATAGGTGTTTTATTTACTTTTAACAAACTTATGTAGGTTTTTTTAACAAGTTATATAAGCTTTAAGTAATTTTGAACTTGTTTTATTGCATTGTTGAACTTAGTACTAAATTGACAGCAGTACTTGTTAAATGCATATATCTCTTAATCCAAAAGTGATATTGAGGTGATTCAAGTTGGAGGTGATAGCTTGTTTCAAGAGATTTCCAACATAGGCCATATGCCCATTTTTGATAAGAAAACAGAAAGTTATGGTCGTTTTACGAAAGACTGTCGAAGCAGGGAAAGGGACATGGACATGGACGTTTTTTGCTTCTTATTTTCGGGTTTGTTTATGACGCCTACTAATGATATTCCTTGGGGAATAATTTAGGGTTTCTTTAAGGTTTTCTTATATTATATAAGGACTCATTGGGTGGACAATTAGAAGTGCTAAATATTGATTAATTAGTCTAGCCAATTCAAGCTAATATGTAACTCCATTGAGAGATTTTGTGTGAGGTGGAGAGTGTTGTATCTCCTTTGTTATCTCTCTTGTTTATCCTCCATGAAAGCTAAAAAGAATATACTATCCCTTACCCCGTGGACGTAGGTCTTGTTGACCAAACCACGTATATATGTGTGTTCATCTCATCTATTTTCTACTTTATTTCTTAAATTTACGTTTTATATATTGTTTTCTGTGTTCCGCGCATATCAAACACATAACCTAAATCAATCCATCCTCATTTATTTCCTAACAGTACTTGCTATGAGTTTTTGTATGATAATGTAATATATATGAGTTTTTGTAAGAAATGAGTTTCAGTACTTAATTGCTACTAATTTTGCTCTTTGAAAAAGTACAATTAAATGAAGAACTTGCAAGGTAATACCAAAATAAACCACTTTATTTATTCCAAAATAAAACACCAACTACAACTGAGTTCATCTATTTCACACCAACAACTGAAAGGCAACTATTTCAAAACAACAATCAACAACACCAAATACATCACCACATCTAATTTCACAACCAAATACAAAAAATCAGCAAATTCATCCGTCTTGTGCATAAACTCTACAAATTCTACCCTTAAAGCTTGTACAGATGATGCTTCTGCCATGGAACCTTGCCTCCCTCCTATGTCCCTTACAATTTGATCTTCACTCACCCACATGAAGAATTCACATAGCCTGCATTTATAATAAGGCCTTCCAGGATTGGCTATAGAGTTAGAAAACCTAATGTCTACAGATCTTGGAGGTTGGCAGTTGCAATTCATGATTTTCAACCAATCACCTCTTCCATTTTTATTTCTTGAAGATGAAACCATACCAGAAGAAGCCATTGATTTTTCAGAGAAAAAAAAAATTTTAAGCAAAAAGAAGAGAGTATGAATGGAAAGGTGGCATACAAACAGGAAGGCATATAAGTAGGGGAAATTTCACAAAAAAGGAGGGAAAAGTGGAAGGGAAATTTGGAGGGAAATTAAATGAGAAAGGCAATTCAGTATTTTTAGACTCCTAAACTATCGTTGTCAACTAATCCTAATTAACGCTTATTTAACGTTTAGGTTACTGTAGTTAATTAGAGAAAAGTTTAGATGTACCGCTGATAATGAAAATTTAATGAGGTGTATCATTGATAAAAGTCGAAACCTGGAGTGTATCATTGATAATTTCCCTTTTTCTTTTTTGTGGCTTAATTTGCATTATGACTCATCTTTACTTTTAATTTTCATTATAATTAGAAAATTAATTAAGAAATCTTAGTGAAGAATTTTAACTAACCGTCATAATATTGAGAAGAAAATAGAATTAGATAAAAGGCTTGAATGACAATTAAAACAGTACATTACTTTGTAAGTAATTTAGCTTTGGTTTTGTTTTTATAATTATTATAATTTTTTTTTTGTAAATCAGGTTTTTTTTTAAGAAAATAAATAAATAAAACTAATGTGGAGCCTTGAGCCATTGCTCAACTTGCTCCCCCTATGAGCACACACAACTTATGTGTTGTGTCTTATGACATATACCCAACAAATATAACGTCCCTTTTCTTCTCCCTAAACTTCACCTCTTCTTCTTCTTCAGTCAAGCTTTTAACCTTCAACAATGGTGACTCTATACCCAAGAATCCTCCTTAAACTCCTTCAATCCATGAACACAAACACCAAGCCCATCGGCGAACACCGCTCTGCTCTTCTCCAAGTCATCGGAATCCTCCCAATTTTACCTTCAAATTCTCTATCCAACACCGCAACCAGGGCTGTTTCTGACATTTTGGAGGCCTAGGGTAAAATGATAATTGAATAAATCATTTATTTTTATAATTTATAAATAGATGTTTCGGGGTTTTTTGCGAGATGTCCTGTGCGAGATGTTTCGGGGTTGCTCTTCGGCTGCACCTGCAAACGAACGGAAGCTCCGGGGATTCGGAGTTCTGCCTCCGACGATCAAGTTAGAACGATTGAAGTAAGGTAAATGTGCAGAAAGTAAAATTATCTTCTCGGATCCCAATATCATGTGTTTTCTCTAATGTGAGAGAATTGATTGTGATGTAATAAATTAACGTGCCCCCAAAATGGGGTAAATGTCTCTATTTATAAGGGCATTGGGAATCAGAATCCCTTTCCTAGGTTATTAACCTAGGTAAATGGGCTGCTCCGTTATTATGGCACCGCCGGATTTGGGCCTTTGAAAGCCGCCATTTCCCTGATGATAGGAGATGCCACATGTCAGCTTTTGATAGGTCTTCTTTAGACCTCTCTTTTGGTGACACGTGTCACCTTATGATTGGGCCACGTGGCCTGGGTATCTTTACCCAAATCATTTGCCCCTCACAGGGGTGACGTGGCATGCCACGTGGCGCCTGTGGCACTTGTTGACTTAGCATTGGTGAATAATAAAAACTATTCACCTTCTAGGGAAATTACAGTGATGCCCCTGAATTTACCCCTCTATAAATAAAGTTTTACCCCTCCTCATTTTTGAAATTTTACAAAGTCTAGAGAGAGTAAGTGAAAATTCTAGAGAGAGAGACTCTGGTAACCGCCTGAGATTCCTTCTGATATTATCATCTGATTTTCCTTCTTATTACTGACGGTCAGCGCTTGATACCTCTTCCTTTCAGAAAATATATTTGAGGTAACCGTCTCTCCCTCTTTCGTCCTTTTATCGTTTATGCATATTGTTTTGAATAAATGGATTCACCATCAACACACACGGCATAGCCTAGGACAGTAGTCAGCCGGTCTCCTGGTACAACTGAGTTTAGGACTGGGGGAGCCGTCTCTAGGTGTTTGGACCACCTTTGTTCTTCCCCGAATCCAACCGTCTCTGTGCCTATGCTAGACATTATGGCTCGAACTAAACATACGGCGCCCAACCCAGAGTATAGGGAAGACGACATGTTAAAGGTGCCGGTTGACGAAGTAGTGCCGGTTGACGAGGTAGTGGACCATCCTCCTAGCTCGACAACTACGACGGGTGACTCTATTCTGAATAAGTCTGAAGAGAGCACCGGTGGGGAGTCCGCCTCTGGTTCGGACTCTGACGAGGGTAGCAGCAACTCGTTGTAGACGATTGTTGACAGTGAGGAGGAGTAGCTACCCTTCTACCCTAAGCAGACGGACCCGTTTAGAATTCACGTGTTTGCTAGGGATAGAATAAACATGGAGACGGGTTTAGACGCCTTCATAAAGAAACGCCCCCTTGAGGGGAACTATGGCATAAGGGTGTTGCCTGAGCTGGGCACGATTGCATGGGAGGAATTGGGAAGTAGACGAAGATGAAGACCTAGATTGAACGTCGTTCTTGGCCTAAATTTGGTGATGTTGTTCGTGAAGAAGTCGGTGCTCGTCTAACTATGGTTTCTACTGAAGAAATCGGCCTTGAACGACCTGCTGCTCCTAGTTTGCTTCGATTTCGCTTCCTTTTGGTTTTGATTTTGTTTTTTTTTTGTTCTTAATTTTGATCGATGAATTGTTGGTTGATTTTGTTGTTGTTGTTTTAGGGTTGTCAAATCTGGTTGTGTTATTGGATTGATTTTTAATGGATTTACTCGTGAATTTGTTCTATGTTTGAGTGATTTTTGCCAATTGAGGTTAATTGGAAGAAATTAAGGGTTTCTAATTTCTCGAGGCTGTTTGTGGAATGTTGGGGGAATTGGAGATGGATAGGGGTTGCGGTGGTGGTTTCGTGGGTGTGGTGGTGGGTGTGGTTGTTATAGTGGTGGTTTCATTGTTACTGGTTGTCAGTTTTATTTGTGTCTAGTCAATATTGTTCACACAGATAATTAGAACTAGTTCAACTCTTGATTGAATAACCAGTCAAAGTTAATTAATGGCTCCCAATGTTTTAGGGGCAAGACTTCGCAGATGTGTTGAGGAGATTGTATTTTCTTATACATACCCCAGCCTAGATAGTGAGGTACGCTAACTCTTGTTCTCTCCACAACAAGTCATTACCTCAACTTAGAGCAAGTGCTATACTCTCTCAACAACTGTGACAAGCTAACAAAAATATGTTTTGTTTCAATATCTCAGGTCTCAAAACACATGAATCATTTATTGAAGGTGCCATTCTGTGTACATCCAAAACAGGTTAGCAGCTATTCTTGCTTGTCTAAGGATATGTTGCCAAGTTCTGGATATTTTTGAGTTCTGTTTCAATAGTGTGAACCCTCCGCTTGAATTTGTCTAGCCCTTTGAATATATTTCTTTGATTTATCAAATTGTTAGACTTCTTTTCGAGAATCTGTTTCCAGAATATTTATGCATTATAAGCCTGTATAAAATCTCATTCCTTAAACTATTTTGTGTTGATGTTTAGGTCTTGTATGTGCTCCTATTGATCCCAACCAATGTGAGGACTTTGTTTAAAATTCTTAGACTGTGTGATACTGGTTAAATTTGTTTAAAATGGAATGTGCTTATTTGAATTTTTTGGAACTTATTCTTACTAAACGTTTTTTGCTAGAACTTTTTGTAATAAGCTGAGGATTCCGCGATGTACTTTTTGAGTATTATTTCATTAGATTTTGCATCACTTCTGATTCTTTTGGTCTCTTCAGGTCATCCAATTACGCCACTCTGGTTATGACACAGCTTATTGTAGTAGCTTTACATATGGTACACTCTACTCTTATTTTCAACCACATGATTGACACTGCTGCTGATTACTGAATTTTGATTATTTACTGCTGCAGAATCACTTTGAGAGAGTTAAATACATTAGATATTTACTATTAAATTAGTTTTTATCTCATGCAACAAATAAAGTTTCTAGGTGTTCCCAGAATCCTGGGTACACCTTGTGTTATGCGTATTTGGGTCTCTTCACTACAATTTGCAATGAAACTGCTGACCAATTTAATATAGAGCCCATACAAAATATTCAAACATGGAAATATAAAAAGAAAAACGCAAGTAGACATGTGTTGTGACATGCATTGGAAAGTTTCTTTTCTCTCCTCTCCTTTGCTTCCTCGTCTGACATTATTTCTTTTTATTTGTTGCAGTTGATAGATTTATGACGTCTTTTATTGATTGTTAACTATATTTTTTTGGTCCCAAATTCAATTAAGAGGGTTTCCGTCACATATCCACCAACTTCGCTTTGCTTACTGGGGAATTGCTGCTACAAAAGTACAATCATTGTCCGCTAATGGAGTTCAATCTCCACGCCCACAAGATGCTGCACATGAAAAATGAGGGTAAATTGGATCACTAATTGCATATTCTGATGGATTCAGATGCAAATAAGGGTAAATTGGATTCGGCAAATGCTGTCGGTCAAAAGAAGCCTCAAACAAATGTGCGTGTACTTAGGGGCCATAATGGTGCAATCACTGCTTTACATTGTGTCACAAGAAAGGAGGTATGGGATCTTGTTGGTGACCGTGAGGATGCAAGCTTCTTTATTAGTGGAAGCACTGATTGCCTGGTATGTGAACATTTAATACTGTTGCCTTATATTGGGGGCGTTATGAGGGGCAATATTTTGGGGGTGGGGGGAAATCTTTAAATGTTGGCTATAATGGTTGATGCTAAAGAAAACTTTAGCTGGGTTGGTAAATCTTGTTCCTTGATAAGCATCTAGTGTCAAACATATATACGAAGTTCACAGGATCAAGCCTTATGTGAAACTGTATTTTTTTTTCTCTTTTAATTTTTTACTTGGAGAGAAGCATTTTACACTTCATAGTTTTGGTTATAGTTTTTATTATGTCCTTGCTTGTTTAGTTTTTTCACCTACACCTATACATGCATTACAAGATTTACAACTAAGAGTGTTTATTGTTAGTATTAACTTAGTACTCTAATTTATCTAAAAATTATATCTACTAGATTCTTAAATCAATATGAGTGTAGTTTTCACAATTATTCTGATCTCAAGTATGCTGTTAAGTTGTGTAATATAGAATCTATTACTTGTCTAAAATAGATGAAAGACCATTGTTTAAAAAATATACAATTTAGTTATAAATGTTTGCCATTTCTTGATTTTTTTTTAAAAAAAAGTTCCTCCATCCCCCCACGACCAAAATATAAGTTTGTTTTGTTGCTCAGGTGTAGCTTATCAACTAAAGTTAAAGTCAAGTTGAATGTTGCTTGTTGAGCTCTTGGGAGCACTAATTGTCTAGGAGTGTTTATTTGTGTGCATTTACATCTTGACGAGGATATATTAATGATTGTTAAGATTTTGAAACTAATTTACCTTTCATTCACTTCAAAATCTTCCAGGTTAAGATATGGGATCCAAGTCTTCGTGGTTCTGAGCTTTAGGCCACTTTGCAAGGCCATATCGGGTAACTTCGACATCTTATATTTATTTCTTGTTTTCTTTTTCGGACAAATAATGAAGGATTATAGTGTTAAAAGGAGTACTAGTTAGTGACTGACACTCATTTAAAAGGAAGTGTAGAGATATATTTGTCATGCCTTATAGTGCTAAATGTTACATTGTCTGAAAATCAGTTGTTTGTGTCAGGTCAAATCAGGTATGCTTAGTAGTCAGTTTCAATTTGTTTTGGATAGGGACCATTTGGGTCGCACTTAGTTCAGCTCTATAGTATTTGAGTAGGCTCGTGCTCCATATACTTGGTCCCCTTAGAACTTTTTTCCCCTAGCATTTTTATGGTATTATCTTACAGATGAAGCTTTGAAACAATACATGTAATTGGAATTAGGGTCCTGGAAATTCTATTTTGATCCTACTGAAAATTTGTTGATTGAGGTAACTGAATCTGGTCTGATGAAGAAGTGAATTTATCTTGATGGCATCTACTGAAAATATAAAAATAAATAACCATACTTTGAGACCTCAGCTGATTCCTAGTAAAGTTGACCTGGTATCAGTATCACAAAAACTGTTTATTTGGCAAACACTTGTGTAGACATTTTTACCAAATAAAGAATGTGCTAAGACAAAAGTTAGTAGCTCTTATTTTCCCAAAGACATGTGAGTCACTTTTGCCCTTTTGGATTGTACTGTTTTGACTTACTTCTTATTTTCCTGTCCCTTTTGGTCTTCTTTACATTTATTGATGTATATTCTTAAGTATTGCTGTCTTCCAGAGCCGTGCGTGCTATAAGCTCTGACCGAGGAAAGATAGTATCAGGATCAGGCGATCAATCACTCTTGGTATGGGATAAGCAAACACACTAGGTTCTAGAAGAGCTTAAGGGGTATACTGCACCGATCAACACTATGCGCATGCTTTCGGGGATAGTGTTCTCTACAATAAGCTCATGTCTGGTGATGTTGTCTGGGATAAAGTTGTCAATGTGAGGGGACATCTTATTAGGCCCTACATTGTTGGGGATTGGTTTTTTCCATTGCTCTTTTTCCTGTTGACCCCATTTTATGGAACTGGTAGAGGCACCCCTGCCCAAAATATATTCAATGCTGCTCTAAATTGCTCCGATTTGCTCCTCTGGTTCATGTTTCTACTTTGTCTATTCTAGTCTTCATGTTGATGTTATTATGCATGCTTGTTGTATAGAGCACTAACTTTTAGTAGTGTACTTTACGATTGCATTTTGTCACATTATGTGCATTAATTAATAAAATTAAGTGATTAGTTATAAGTCCGATATTTTTTTTTTAGTTTTTTAAAGTGTAATATTACAAGTTATTGAAGAAAATATATGTGTTTTATGTATATTATGATTATATTTAAGTATTTGGTACAATTTAAGTGAAAAAAATGCAAAAAAAAAAAAAAATATTTTTCTTGGGCATTTTTGGCACCGGTTTTGGAAAAGAACTGGGGCTAAAAGTTTTTTTAAAAAAAATATTTTTGGGGACTTTTGGCACCGGTTCTTAGTCAAAACCGGTGCGAATAGTGTGGTTTTTCGCACCGGTTCTCACCTAGAACCGGTGCGAATAGTGTGGTTTTTCACCGGTTCTCACCTAGAACTGGTGCGAAAAGTCTGATTTCGCACCGGTTTTGAACCAGTGCGAAATGTCTGGGGTTTTAGCACCCCCCAAATCAGGACCGGTTTAAAACCGGTGCGGATTACGTGTTTTCGCCTAGTGTTAATACCGTCTAAGATTAACTTGTTGAAGGCTTCAACCTGGCCGTTTGCTTGGGGTCGGCAGACTGATGCAAAGTAGTGAGAGATCCCTTGGTCTCCCAACCAATTCTTGAGGGTAAATTGAGGGCCATTGTTAAAGACCATAGACATAGGTATCTCATACTGGGTGATGATGTTCTTCCAAATGAAAGAAATGACATCCTTTGTCTTGATGTCTTTGACCGCCTCAGCTTCCACCCACTTGGTGAAGTAGTCAACGACCAACTAGAACATACCGCCGTCCACCTGGCGCAGGTGTATACGGTTCTAGAATGTCCATGCCCCATTTGGCGAATGGCACTGGGCTATGAATCGCCGTTAGATCAGTTGTCGAACGGTGTATGAGCTTACCAAACCTTTTACACTTGTCACACTTCTTCACCAATTCCATGGCGTCTGCCTCAAGAGTGGGCCAGAAGTAACCTTGCCACCTAACCCTATTTTCTAGAGCTTTGCCGCCTATGTGTGAGGCGTAGTAGCCTGAGTGAAGGTCTTCCAGAATTCATGCCCCCTTTCTAGGGTGATACATTTGAAAAGGGGCAACGTAAAGCCCTTTTTGAAAAGTTCTCCATTGCGAATCTCAAAGTTGGCCGCACCTTTTTTCATTGCGACCATTTCTAGATATGTATCCGGCAGAGTGTCGTCTAGTAGATAAGCCTGGATGCCGTCCATCCAGGTTGAACTTCGGTCAAGTACACCAATGGGATATTCTTCGATGCTTTGTTTTTGCATCACTTCCCAAAAGACTGACCGAGGTGTATCACAGGAGGCGGATGATGCCAACTTTGACAGGGCATCAGCCTAATTGTTCTCTGACCTGGGCACTTGACTTAGGTGGAATTCGTCAAGTGTCCCAGCCTCTGTTCTGAACGCCTGCAAATATTTGACCATAGCCGGATGGGTGGCCTCATAGTCACCATGGTATTGGCTAACAACTAATTGTGAATCAGAGCAAACATCAATTTTCTTTGCCCCTGACCCTTACACATGCGTATACCGGATAGCAGGGAATCATACTCAGCCTTGTTATTTGAGGCTTGAAACTTAAACTGTAGTGCATATTCATATTTGTCCCCCTTAAGAGACTAACATATAATCCTTGCACCACAGCCGTTCAAAGTAGAGCTCCCGTCTACATACACTTTCTAAACCTGATCAAGATTTTCCGGCTCCACCGCCCGTGTCATTTCAACAATGAAGTCGGCGAATGCCTGACCCATCACTGCCTTCCTTAGTTCGAAAGAAATTTCAAGACTTTGTATTTTAATAGCCCGCTTGAGCATTTTTCCGAATGACTCTAATGTTGTCATTGGCCGCTTGAGAAGTTGGTCCGTATAGACCATAACCGGATGTGCTAAGAAGTATGGCTTCAACTTCTTGACTGCCATGAAAAGAGCAAGGCCAAATTTCTCAACCGTTGAATACCAGAGTTATGCATTTTGAAGAACATGGATAACGAAATAGACCGAGAGCTGATTGTCGTCTCTCTCAGCAAGGAGAACAACACTAAGGGCATGATTTGAGAAGACTAGGTAAATGTAAAGCGTCTCCTTGGGCAGAAGGCTAACAAGCCTTGGAAAGGAGTACAACCGTTCTTTCAATTTTTGAAGGCCACCTCAGCATCATCTCCCCATTCAAACATGGTTTTCTTTATGATTGCTTGGAAAAAATAGAGGCACTTGTCACCTGTCCGAATGAGGAATCTCCCCAATGCCGCTAGACAACCGGTTAGCTTCTAAACTTCTCTAAGAGTGCGGGGTGACTTCATGTCAATAACCGCCTGTATCTTCTCTGGGTTTGCCTCTATCCCCCGTTAGTCAATTAAAAATCCGAGAAACTTACCAGACTCAACACCAAAGACACACCTCTTTGGATTGAGCATGACCTTGTGCCACTTGAGTGTGGTAAAGGTTTCTCGGAGGTCAGCAAGATGATTCGTCTATATCTTGGCTTTGACTATCATATCATCAATGTACGCCTCTACATTCCTCCCGATCTTATTAATGAAGACCGTATTCATCATTTGTTGGAAAGTAGCAGGCACATTTTTCAAGCCAAACGACATCACAGTATAACAGAATAACCCCTGATCAGTGACGAATGTCGTCTTCTTTTGATCTTTCTTCCACAAGGGTATCTGACGAAAGCCTGAATAGGCATCCATAAATCTCATCAAGGCATGTCCGGCTGTAGAGTTGACCAGACTATCAATCTTTGGAAGCGGATTACTGTCCTTTGGACATGCCCTGTTTAGATCAGTATAATCAACACACATGCGCCAGGTCCCATTCGGCTTCTTTACAAGAACAACATTCGCAACCCAATCTGGTAAGTGACATTGTCGAATGAACCCAGCATCTACAACTTCTTAACCTTGGCGGCAGTTGCCTGACTTCTCTCCTCGCCGTGATTTCTTTTCTTTTGCCTGATAGACTTCTTCTTTGGATTAACGACGAGTTTGTGGACAGCAAGATCCGGGCTGATGCCAGACATCTCTTCCACTTTAAAGGCAAAGATAATCCTTAAATCCCTTCAACAGATTGTGCAAGTCTGCCCCCAACTTTGCAAAGGCAATCGTCCCCACCTTAACAGTTCATTCAGGATGTGTGTCGTCCAGAGCGATGTCAATGTGTTCACCAGCCGGTTGGGGCCGGAGTTCATCCGACCATTCCCCGGTCAGTGATTGCTATTACTTCTATTTCTTGAAAGTTACCAGCTGGTCGGCCTTTCTCTTCTTGTCGCCTCCTGGTGGGGCAGATTTAGGTTCCTTGACATCAAGGTCTATTAGATCCACATCCCGGCCAACTGCCATGGGCTTGACGTCTGAGATATAGCACTCTCGAGCCGTCTTAAGGTCTCCATTCAAGGAGCCAACAAAACCATCATCTTTCTCAAATTTCAGCAGCGTGAGGAAGGGAATAATGACGACCTTGGATTCGTTCAGAGTCGGACGACCAATTATGAGATTGCAGGCGGTCAACTCTTTAACAACCAAGAACCGGACGACCATGCTTTTCCCTTGACCCTTCTTCCCCAGCCGGATATGTAGATCAATTCGGCCGAGTGGGTGCACAACTCTACCCCCAAAACCAACCAAGGGGTGAGTAACCTTGTGCATGCTGCCTGGCTTGCACTTCACCTTTGACTAACAATGCCAGCTGATGATGTCAGACAAACTGCCTGTTTCAATAAGGATCCGACCAACCCTTTGGTTAGCCACGTTACATTCAATGATAATGGGGTCGTCATGCGGTTGGCGGACTTTGCCCCGGTCCCTTTCAAAGATGACGACCTCAGGAAAAGTATCGGTCCCTTGTACTCTGTAGGGTTTTACGGTGTCCGACACCGTGCGGAAACATATCCCGGAAACCGGATCGCATGCATAATAATTACAACATAAACAATAGCATGCAAATAAACAAAACATAAACACATAAAGAGAAGAGAGAGAAAGAAACTCACCCTAGAAGCGTGCTTCGCTCACTCAATGAGCTCGAACTTGAAAGCTTCAAGCCCCGCAAGTGCGAAACCTCTGACGGCTCACACCCTAACTCACTAAATTGGAACCGGGCCCTACCCGGTAGCTTAGACGGGGCTAGACCAAAATAACTTAGAGTTTACGAACAAAGGGTTTCTCGCTTTTAGAGATCCCTAAGAATCTCACCAACTCAAGTGAAATTCCTAATACCCAATGATTGGTATTTATAGGGAAACGTTCCTAAGAATTCCTATCATCTTTCAATGTGGGATAGTTGGTAAAATGCCAAAAGTAAGATTTAATTTAATTCTAAATTAAATTAAAAGGCATTAGTAATAAGCAAATGACAAGTGGCAATGCATTGGAGGGGTTAGGTAAGGACCACAACCCCTCTCCTTGGAGAACAAGAAAAAGCCTACTCACCTTGGTCAACAAGGGGATAACCGGCCACATGCCTTGGGCCTCAAAGCTCACCTAGCTGGCAGTCTTGCCCTCGGCTGGGCCTAATAGCATGACGCAAGCCCACACGAGCTAGCGAGCTGCTACTAGGCCTGCTCGTGTGCTTGCAGACTTGTGCTAGCGCTGCTAGCATTGGCCTGCTTACATGCTTGCGGGCTGATGCTAGTGCTGCTACCTTGACAAGCAAGGCAACGCGCGCATGGTGTAACACCCCCAAATCTCCCTCTACGGAATATGTAGAAAATACGTATAAATACCGTAGAGATAGACTTGGGCGTATTACCGCCGCGTGAAAATGCAAGGCTTATACTTCAAAAATACTTTTGTAGCGGAAATTCTTTATTCTTTATTAATAGTACTTCAAATAAAACTGTTCATAATTTATGACACAAAAACAACTCAAACTTTTCCTAAGCTAGGTGAAATTCCCGTGGACTCCCATATGCATCAATCAACTTCCACCTGAAAAGTTCACCTGCTTACCATAAACGGTAAACAGGGCAAAGCCAAAACAAAAGCACGCATTAGCCAATTATGCTAAGTAGATTATGTGTGAGATAAGTAA